AGGGTGAGGGAGGCTAGGCTAGGCTAGGCTAGTCTAGCCGGGGCGACCGAAAGCCTACATTCCAAAATGTTTTTTTTTTGTTTGTTTTCCCTCTTCGCCGTCAGATCACATGAGAGGAATAAAAGCACCCAAGCTGAAGAGAAGACTGCGCTCCAGGTGATTCGAGTGGACCCGATCGGTCCAGGGATGATGACGTAGAAGGAAGACTCGTGATGACTTGCAGCCGGCAAAATCTTCTGTTGATTTTTTTTGTGATGTGTTTCAGCCGTCGAGTCAAACTGTACTGCTCACTGGTGACCAAAGAGCTTCTGCTGAGCAGCCGCAAACACCTCTTCTGGGAGAAATTCATTGTGAGACGTCTTTTAAAACAACAGTAAACAGTCGCTCGAGGGTTAGGGGCCGACTGACCGAGCCCTGCTTCGAGGAGCAAAAAATGCACGCCTTTGACACCCCCCAAAGTTGGCCGAGATGAAAGTGATGTCGCGAAAGAGTGGGATGCAAAACAAATTCCCCGCAAAAACAAAACACGTATCTATACATCGATTAAAATGGCCTTGTACACCAATGTTTGTCATAATTTTTTTTTTGTGGGGGGGGGATGTGTTCCCCAAAAATGTGACTTAAAAGGGAAAACAGACTTGTCAAGAGTGATGTTTCCCTCATGAGATTGTTTCTGGGGGTGGGGGGGGATTGCAGCCTTCCTCTCTCACAACTGACAATCAATCACCCCCCAGGTCTATTTTACATGAAGGGTTTTGTTGTTTTTATTCTCACTCAAGTAACGAGTGTCGATTATTGCCCCACGTTCCGATGCCGAGCGTCTGGCGCTTTCTCACGTGTGTGTTTGCACAGGCCTTCAAAGTTTCTTTTCTTCCTTCAGGTTCCCTTGGAGCTGGAGAGTCCGACTCAGATCTCGCTGGTGGACGAGGCGTCAGGAGAGGTGAGCCGCGGCCTCGCGCCCCGCGGACGCTCTATGGAAACTCTGGAAGAATGTGAAATGTTGTCCCGCGCAGAGCGAGGAGGTGGTCGTGACGCTGCTCCCCGCCGGACACTGTCCCGGCTCCGTCATGTAAGTCTCGCGCCGAGTTCGTGGCCGCAAAAAAGTCAGATTGGAAAGTCGCCGATGACGACGATGCGTTCAGGTTCCTGTTCGAAGGTTGCCATGGCAACGTGTTGTACACGGGAGACTTCAGGCTGGCCCTGGGAGACGCCGCCAGGATGGAACACCTGCACTCGGGCAGCAGGTGCGTCTCCGCCATCCGCTTCTCGTTCTTGTCGCGCGGTGCGGTCCTCTTCCTCTCCCCCGCGCCGTTGTCTCATGACGGGCGTTGGCCGCGCAGGGTGAAGGACATCCGGAGCGTCTACGTGGACTCCACCTTCTTCGACCCGCGCTTCTACCAGATTCCTTCCCGGGTAAACGCAGAACCGAGGAGTCAAAACACATCCCGGCATTGTTTATTTGGCTGTGTGCAAAATACAAAAATAAGATTGATAGAGTGACCAAAAAGAACCCACCCACCCCCAAAAAAGGAAATAAATCATCTCCGCGTTGTCCAAATTTCCCACCGAACCACGTCAGCATGACAACTGGGAACGACAAGTCGAGCCAGGGAATGATCGGCCTCACCGTGATGTCATTGTTGACCGCGCCCGCGCTTGCATGTGTGCACGCGCAGGAGGCGTGCGTGAGCGCCGTCTTGCGTCTAGCCGGCGACTGGATCGCCCGCAGCGCCCTCCACGTGGTTTGGCTCAACTGCAAGGCGGCCTACGGCTACGAGTACTTGTTCACCCGCTTGGGCCGGGAGTTCAACACGCGGGTAAAAACGCCGCCAAGACGCACGATGATTGAGCCAAAGTTTGAGTCACCCGTCTCGGAGACGGTCCGAGACACTCGGCCGACATCTCGCCCCCCCTTCGCCGCGCAGGTGCACGTCAACAACCTGCTGATGTTCCGGAGGATGCCGGAGATCCTGAGCTACGTGACCACCGAGCGTCAGACGCAGATTCACGCCTGCCGACACCCGAAGGTGACGGCGGGGCGCAAAGGCGCGCGCGGCTCCGAGAGGCGCGGCTGACAGATTGTTTTGCCGCAGAGCGAGCAGTATCTCCACGGCAACCGGCTGCCGTGCGGCTGCCGGTCCCGCGACGGCGCCAACCTGCGCGTGCTCAGCGTCAAGCCCACCACCATGTGGTTTGGGGAGAGGATGCGCAAGACCGACGTGGTCATCAAGTAATGTCCGGCCCGCCGCGCCCGCCCGCCGGGACGCCGCGCTCATCCTCTTTTGGTTTTTGCAGATCAGGAAGCGACGCCTTCCGAGCGTGTTTCAGCTTCCACTCGTCCTACTGCGAGGTCCGCCCCCTTCCTTGACCGAGGACATCCGCGCCGTCCAATTTCACATTTCTCTCTTCCAAATTCCGAGTTTGAATTCTGAATCAGAATTTCGCAGTTCAAACGAGATTTTCCGGGTGGAAATTTCAAATTGGACCTTTGTGGATTCAACTTGCATTTGACTTTTCTGAATTAGAATGCGTGCGTTCCAATTAGAATTTGGCAATTTTCTTCATTTGAAATTCCGACCTGGAATTTGAACGTAGCGGTCGCCGATGGCGTACACGGGCCCGACGGCGCGGATGTGAGCGTCAACGGTCGTTTGTCGCTACAAGTGCCCTGCGACGGGGCTAACGCCAGGCGACCTCTTTCAGGTCAAAGACTTCCTGTCCTATCTGCGACCCGCGCGGGTGTTCGCCAACGTGGTCCCGATGGGGCGCACGCTCGCCGAAGTCACGCGCATGTGAGTGGCCCGGCGGGCGCCAGCACGACAAACGGTCAGGTGGCGCAAAAAAGTCACCAGGGCGCAAATGTTCCGGCAGGCTGCAGACGACGTGCAGGAAGCGGCCGCGGGACGACTCGGCTTACAAACCGCTGGGCTTGCTCAAAGGCCGCCGCGCCGCACCGACGCCTCCCCGCGGTGAGACGCGCACATCCGATACACGGGCCACCTCAAAAAGCGCACAACCAAAACTGGCGCGCCACAAAGAAGGCCGTCCGCAAGACATGCTTGAAAGAAGCCGGGCACCCGACACGCCTCAAAGACGAGCCCCTCCAAAACACACGCCGCAAACGGGCGCCGCAGCGTCACGCAGACGGGCCTCAAAAGCGCCACCTCACAAAAGCACCTTCAAGACAACTTCTCTCACGCTCATCTTTGTCCCGTCAGATTGGGAGAGCGACGATGACCTCTTTGATAGCAGTCCGCCGAAGAAAAAGCCGCGGGAGCGTCGGCGCGTCCCCGACGGTGCGTCCGCATTTCGCTTCCTGTTAGCATGCGCGTGCTAATCACTCCTGGCTGTTTGACAGAGCGCAGAGGGCAGACGCCGGCGCCCCCCACCCCCGAGGAGGACTCGCCGCAGCCCGTCACATGTGACGCCAACCACGAGGAGCGCATCGATAACAACTTCCTGGACTGTACGGAGTCAAACGACGACGACAGCGAGGAGGGCGGGCAAAGCGAGGAAGACGAGCAAAGTGAGGGAGACGAGAGCGCGACGAAATGGCGCGGCCAAACGGGAAGCGTGGCGGGGGAGCCGCCCAAATGGGAGGACTTCTTCACCGCGGAGCCGCTCCCCGACAGCCAGAAGAGCCTCAACAGCCAATCGCCGCCCGGCTGGCGCACGCCCGAAGCGTCGAGCGAGCGGGAAGACGACGTCGACCACGTCGACGACGACTTTTCCCTTTCGCTGTCCGCCTCAGCGTCCAATCATTCGTCGCAGAACCGCGACGCGGCGGCCGGTGACGCCCCGTCGGAAGCGGACGAGCCGACGCCCCCCTCGTTGGACTTTGACATTCCCTGCACGCCGGACTCCAAAAGGCCGACGCCCGAGCAGCTGACGGGCCTCTACAGGAAATTGGCCCGCGGAGACGACCTTTCCTCTCCCGACTGAAGCCAAAAAAGACCAATACTCAAATACTGCGCCATCAATCCCAAAACAACAAAAAATAAAAATAAAAGGAGTTTTTCAGACTTCAAGTAGTTTTTGTGTCGCACCTCGCGTATCAGCTGATCAGGCCCTGGAACGCCAGCGCCATCCCGAGGGCTGCCAGCATCCACGCCGATGTCACGGCGGGTGACAACAGAGAGCGCGCGGATGAAGGCGCGGCGTCGGCCGTTGCCACGGTGACACGACGCAACAGGAAGTCGTGCGTCAGGGCAGAGTTTCGTTCCGGACCGTAAGGGACGAAAAAAGTCTCCGTCAGCACCTCGTAGCCGGGATACGTCACCTGGGGGTGTAAATTAAAAAAAAAAAAAAAAAAAAATGCACATTGAGCCGCAGGACGCCCGCATGCATCCGTGTGTGACGGGGTGAACGCATGCGGCGTCCGTGAACTCGGCCTTGGCGTGCGTGCGCACTTAACAGTGAAGGTGTAGTTGCCCGGCAGCAGCAACCTGTAGTATTCTCCATGTTTGTCCGTGGCGAAGGGACGCACGTTGCGGCGACCGCTCACCTCGACCACGGCGTTGTGCAGCGCCGCTCCCGAGCAATCCAGCACACGCCCTTTGACCCCTGCGTGCGCGCACACACACACACGTCAGTTGAGGGCGCTGCCTCCCAAGAGCTCGGTGGGACGCGCGTTTACCCAAGTGGGCTTGGCGGATGAAGGCCAGCAGGCTCTTCCTGTTGTCCGCCCACAGGGCAGGAAGTTGCCCGGCCGGGGGGAACTTGCAGCACGACACCTCCAGCGTGACTTCCAGGCAGCCGGCCCACACGTAGTTGTAGTCCTGCATGCCGCCTGCGCGCGTTCAAGGGAGGG